ATATATATTTATGTTGGTGTCCCCTGGTTCTGTGGAAGGTTATGTAGATGGGGGTTATTGTGTACTGTACAAGATGATAAATTATTCTACACGGATACCATGTTTACATTTATTTTACGTTTTTGTAAACATATTTTTACTGTGATTAGATGAAATCTGGTTGACATGGCTTAGAGCTGTTAAACGAAACGAGCCGTTCGGCTCAGCTCGATAAGGCTAGAAAAGATAATTTTTATATAATTTTCTATAGTTCGACTCGTTAAAGCTCAAGATTAGCTCGAACTCGGCTCATTGATATTGATAAACGAGTCGAGCTATAGCTTAATTTTGGTTCGGTTACTTGACGAGTTCTTGTCTCTTCAGGGCTTTCTTGACATGGGTTGATTCAATCCTACAAATAATTAAAATTTGGTTGATAGCGACATGTCTTGGTTTGACCTTGCAATTATCGGGTTTTTCACCTGGTGGATTATCAATGCAGTGTACCCGTGTTGATTTAACGGTGAAAAATCCGGCAATTGCAACTTAACTGTATGGTAAATCTAGCCTTAACATGTGTTGTCTTAACAACTATAACTCGTCGTGGGAAAGTTTTTCTTGACAATGAGATGTCAGATTATTGTTGCGTAATAATAGGAACATAAACGAGATTGTTTGATTGGCACTTGGCAGTACTTGAAGAAAAAACACACAAAACTGTTGTTACCTTAATAATTCCGTACAAGGAACAAAAACTACACATGTACACATCGAAAAGTGGATAAGATCATCAGAACACCACATCACATTCTAAAAGATTCTCTTCAAATGGGCAGGAAGGATAATAATAGATAGGATTTCTTTACGTGATATATCTTTCTTCTTTTCTGGAGTTACATGATTCATTAAGGTCGTCACCCTATACCTGGAAGTCTCTATCGTTTTCTTTGTCTGTTAAGCTTCACAGGGTTTATGTGGGAAATCTAAGAGACACGTTCCTTTCTTCCAGGGACTTCACTTCGCTTATCACTTAAAATGCCATGGCAATTTCGTTGGCAGTGTGCTGGTTTGAGGAAGTTGTGTTTGATTTATTACACGTTGAAAAAATCCAATTTCTATGTCTAACACCAGTAGATATTAGCCATTTAATCATTGGAATATGACATTTCAGTATCCATTATTTATCCCTCATTGAAGTGATAGTTGATTAAATGGAATAGTTGATTATTTTTTGCAGAAATTTGAATATCGAATTATTGTTATCATATCACTAAAAGTAAAAATAAATTATACATAAATAGAATAACTGATTGATTTTTTTAAAGTTTAATTATTGATTTAGAGCAATTATTGGTACAACATTTCCTAAAATATAAACAAAAGTCGACCATAATGTTGTGACTACAAGGGTCAAGGCCAAAGGTTCGGGGGGCAACTCCGGCAAAGTGAACGGCGAGAAAGATGGGATCTTGAAAATCGCCGAGGATGAGAAGTTTTGCCCTAAATTGATTGATGCGTGTAAAGAAGGAGAAGGGATTGAAGATAAGAGGACCATCGGGCCAAAAACTGGGAATTAATTGGGCCACTTACCTTGTTGGTTATTTTACTTACCTTTATTCTAGTATTGGGCCGAATATGTTAGGTCAAGCCCAAGTTATTTAATATTTTGCTAGGGTCCGTGTAAAGGCCTTTAAATACGAAAAGAGTATCAAAAAATAGCCAAGTTTTGGCAGTTATAATTTTCTCATCTCAATTTCTCTCTCATCCTCCTAATTTCTCTGAATTTCCTCCCCTTTCTTCATAAAGATAGCTTAATTTTCACAGAAATTACAACTCAAGAAAATACCAAAAAAATACAGAAAAATCAAAAATCAAAAACCCATAACACAACAGTTGGTATCGAGAGCCTGCGGTCCTTGGAATATGGCTGAAGGCACCAGATTCAAAGATTTACAGGAAACCCAGAAAAAAATGAACCAAACTATGCAGGAAACTCAAAGGAAGCTAGATCAAAACCTGCAAATGGAAGCCATGAAAAGGGAAGCATCAGAAATGAAATTGCAGGAACAAATGGCACTTATCAGCTCAGAAGTTAAGGAGCAATTAGGAGAAATCAACAGCATCATGAATAACAACTATGATCACTTGGCAAACATCTTAGCTTCTATTCAGCTGCAACTCTTAAACCCTGAAAAAAGACCTTATGAGGAATCCATACTGGGAGATGGATCTAATTCTAGGTTTACTCAGTCTGGGAAAAGATTACCATGGGAGAACCCACCACCACATGTCATCAGTCCTGTGCCAAAAGTGGATTTCCCAAGGTTTGATGGGTCTCAGCCTAGATCATGGATTCTTAAATGCAATGGGTACTTCAAGTTGATACCTAATATTCCTGATACACAGAGGGTTATACTGGCTGCTATGAACTTTGAAGGGAAAGCTGCATTGTGGTATCAGAATTCAATTGCAAGCCAAGGGAACATTGATTGGGAGCAATTTCTTGAGCTGGTTCCAGCAAGGTTTGAGGATTTAAAAGAAACAAAGGTGATTGCAGAATTTAACAAGCTCAAGCAAACTGGTACCTATGGAGACTATGTTGATAAATTTGAAGAACTAAGGGGTTGTATGCAGCTACTTAACAACAGAGGGTACTCTGAGGATTACTTTGTGGCAAGCTTCATCACTGGCCTACTTGAGGAGGCACAAGCCTTCATTTCCATGTTCAGCCCAAATACCTTACAACAAACAATTGAGCTGGGCAGGAGGCAAATGGAAGCACTAAGTGCCATCACAAGGAAGGTTAAAGGAGCAAGCAGGCCATCCTACAGTGCCTACCATAACTCTAAGGTGGGTGACAATCAACAGAGTCCCCAAAGCAGGCCTGCCAATCCCTGTCAGTTAAAAAACCCTACCAAATTATTAACAGCAAGTGAGATGGCTGCAAGGAGGGAAAAAGGGTTGTGTTATAATTGTGATGAGAAGTTTACATTTGGCCACAGGTGTAAACAAAGGTCTAACTACATGATCATGACAGAGGAGGAGGAATTAGCATACATGCATATTAATTCAGAAGTGGAAGGGGACCCAGTAGAGGAAAAGGGAATGGATGAAGTGCAGATGTCCTTGAACACTATTACAGGAGAAAATGGCCTTACCACCATGAGGCTATGTGGTAAGGTTAGAGATCACCAACTACACATTTTGGTGGATTTAGGGAGTACACTAAGCTTTATCAGAGAACTTACTGCCAAGGAGCTGGGCTGTGAACTTAAACCTGCCAAGCCTCTCCTGGTGAAAGTGGCCAATGGCCAGAGAATGGTGAGCTCTCTAGAAGCTCAAAAATTTGAATGGGATATGCAAGGCCACCTGTTCACATACACATTCAGGGTTTTGCAGCATGAAGGTTGTAACCTAATTCTTGGGGGTGATTGGCTCAAAGCAAGCACCCCAATTGAACTAGACTACAACAAAATGATAATCACAGTCACCCTAGGAAAGATTGGCTCAAAGCAAGCACCCCAATTGAACTAGACTACATAGTGATTCTTGGGGGTGATTGGCTCAAAGCAAGCACCCCAATTCAACTAGACTACAACAAAATGAGAATCACAGTCACCCTAGGGAATGGATGAAGTGCAGATGTCCTTGAACAATATTACAGGAGAAAATGGCCTTACCACCATGAGGCTATGTGGTAAGGTTAGAGAACACCAACTACACATTTTGGTGGATTCAGGGAGTACACTAAGCTTTATCAGAGAGCTTACTGCCAAGGAGCTGGGCTGTGAACTTAAACCTGCCAAGCCTCTCCTGGTGAAAGTGGCCAATGGCCAGAGAATGGTGAGCTCTCTAGAAGCTCAAAAATTTGAATGGGATATGCAAGGCCACCTGTTCACATACACATTCAGGGTTTTGCAGCATGAAGGTTGTGACCTAATTCTTGGGGTGATTGGCTCAAAGAAGCACCCCAATTGAACTAGACTACAACAAAATGAGAATCACAGTCACCCTAGGGAAGAAGAGGGTAAATTACAAGCCCTAACCTCCATGACTGAATGCAAATTGATCAGTGGGCCAACACTATTCAAGATGGTGCATGAGAATAATTTGGATGATGTAGAATAGATATTTTGGATGACTGTTCCAAAACCACTTCAAGTATCCAACCTACAACTGGAGGAACTCTTAAGTGATTACCAAGATATTTTTGATGAACCTAAGGAATTACCTCCAAGCAGGGGAGTGGAGCATCACATTCACCTCAAACCCCACAGCTCCCCAAAGCACCAATACCCTTATAGGGTATCACATGACCAGAAGACAGAAATTGAAAGGATAGTCAAAGAATTGTTGGAAGCAGGATTCATTAAACCCAATCAAAGCCCATTTGCTTCTCCTGTACTTTTGGTGAAAAAGAAGGACACAATCTGAAGACTATGTGTAGACTACAGGTATCTGAATGAACTTACCATTAAACATGATTACCCATTCCCATTATTGAAGAATTATTGGATGACCTGCATGGGGCTAAGTATTTCTCTAAGGTGGACCTAAGATCCGAGTATTTTCAAATCCTTATGGCTCCTGAGCACAAATATCTCACTGCATTTAATACACACAGTGGACAGTATGAGTTCTTAGTGCTGCCTTTTGGGCTATGCAATGCCCCGACAACATTTCAGTCACTCATGAACAGAATTTTTGGGAAATTACTGAGGAAGCATGTCCTGGTTTTTTTGGTGATATACTGGTGTATAGCAGGACATGGGAAGAACATATGATGCACCTAAAAGAAGTCTTGGACCTCATGAGAGAGAACAAGTTGTTTGCCAAAAGAAGCAAATGCCACTTTGGTCAGGTAGAAATAGAATACATGGGGCACATTATTAATGCACATGGGGTGTCTACAGATCCTCAAAAAGTGGCTAATATGCTGGATTGGCCAGTTCTTACTACTGTTAAGCAACTGAGGGGTTTTCTTGGTCTGACAGGATACTATAGGAAATTTGTAAAGGGATATGGAGTTATCAGCAAGCCACTCACTAACTTGCTAAGAAAGGATGGCTTCATTTGGAATGATGAAACAGAAGGTGCATTTAACAAACTCAAACAAGCAATGGCCACTACACCAGTTTTGGGACTATCTGACTTCACTAGCCATTTGTATTGGAGACAGATGCATGTGGGAAAGGCATAGGGGCTGTCCTCATGCAACAAGGTAGGCCCTTAGCTTATCTCAGCAAGACACTATGCCCTAAGAACCAAGGACTGTTCATTTACGAGAGAGAATTTCTAGCTGTTCTTCTAGCTATACAGAGATGGAGGCACTACCTTTCAGGGCATAAGTTCATCATTAGAACTGACCAACAAGCCCTTAAACACCTACTTGATCAGAAGATCATGACTCATGTGCAACAAAGATGGTTGACTAAACCCCTAGGACTGAATTATGAGATCCAGTACAAAAAGGGCTCTGAGAATAGGGTGGCAGATGCCTTGTCCAGGAAAGAATCAACAGAAGAAAATCTAACAGCCATAACTACAGTGGTGCCTAAGTGGACACAACAAGTTGTTAGTAGCTATGATGGGGACTCAAATTTCAAAAAAATCATCACAGCTAATGCCATTGACCCACAAAGTTACCCTGATTACACCATTAATGAAGGGATGCTGAGATACAAGGGTAGAGTATGCATTGGTGAGGATCAATCCTTGAAAGAGTTAATCCTAGAGGCACTACATGACTCTTCCCTTGGAGGGCATTCTGGGATACAGGGGACTTATCTGAGAATCAAGAAGATTTTCTACTGGCCTAACATGAGAAAAGATATTGAAGATTGGGTGAAGAAGTGTGATACTTGTTGCAAGAACAAGTCAGATACAGGGGCATACCCTGGACTGTTACAACCATTACCCATTCCAGAACAGGCTTGGACACACATATCAACGGATTTCATAGAGGGTCTGCCTAAATCCTGGGGAAATGATGTTATTTTGGTCATAGTGAATAGATTAACAAAATATGCACATTTTGTGGGGTTGTCCCACCCATTTACAGCCAGTATTGTGGCTAAGATTTTCATGGATACTATTCACAAGCTACATGGATATCCTATAAGTATCCTTACAGACAGAGATAAGGTGTTTACAAGTCAGTTTTGGAAGGAACTGTTTAAGCTTGTAGGGGTGCAGCTGGATTTGTCATCAGCATATCACCCACAAACAGACGGGCAAACTGAGAGATTGAACAGGTGTTTGGAAACCTACTTGAGGTGCATGGTACACCAGAACCCTAAACAGTGGCACAAATGGCTGCCATTAGCAGAGTTCTGGTACAATACCAACTACCACACTGGACTAAAAATGACCCCTTTTGAAGCTTTGTATGGCTACCCACCCCCTATGATGTGTTTGGGACCCTACCAGTCTACTACTAATGCAGATGCCCAGGAATTCATTCAGCAAAGACAGGCAGCATTACAAACTATAAAGGAAAACTTATTGTTTGCTCAAAATAGAATGAAGACATATGCAGATCACCACAGACAAGACAGAGAATTTCAAGTGGGAGATCAAGTTTATTTAAAACTGCAGCCTTTCAGGCAGAACTCAGTGGCTTTAAGAAAAAATTTGAAATTATCTTCAAAATATTATGGGCCATACACAGTACTGGAAAGGGTGGGGAAGGTGGCTTACCGTTTAGATCTACCTGAAGGCTCATGTATACACCCGGTTTTCCACGTGTCTTTGTTGAAGAAGAGGTTGGCTGACACGGTTCCGGTGGCAACAGATCTGCCTCCGACGACAGCCGACGGGTTGTTCGAGGTTCACCCACTGGGTGAACCTCTCGCAGCGTACTTCTATGCGCCGGGGTAAAGCCGTGAAAGAATGGCAGATTCAGTGGGACGCTGAAAGGCCGGAACTTGTAACTTGGGAAGACGCGCCATTCATCGCCAAGAAATTTCCAACTCTTGGTCCTTGGGGACAAGGACCATCTGAAGAAGGGGGAATTGTTGTGACTACAAGGGTCAAGGCCAAAGGTTCGGGGGGCAACTTCGGCAAAGTGAACGGCGAGAAAGGTGGGATCTTGAAAATCGCCGAGGATGAGAAGTTTTGCCCTAAATTGATTGATGCGTGTAAAGAAGGAGAAGGGATTGAAGATAAGAGGACCATCGGGCCAGAAACTGAGAATTAATTGGGCCACTTACCTTGTTGGTTATTTTACTTACATTTATTCTAGTATTGGGCCGAATATGTTAGGTCAAGCCCAAGTTATTTAATATTTTGCTAGGGTCCATGTAAAGGCCTTTAAATACGAAAAGAGTATCAGAAAATAGCCAAGTTTTGGCAGTTTCAATTTTCTCATCTCAATTTCTCTCTCATCCTCCTAATTTCTCTGAATTTCCTCCCCTTTCTTCACAAAGATAGCTTAATTTTCACTGAAATTACAACTCAAGAAAATACCAAAAAAGTACAGAAAAATCAAAAACCCATAACACAACACATAAGTAGGATAGAATAATTTACCAAAAGGAAATAAGAAAAAACAAAATAGTGTCTTATTTTTCTTATTTAGTAACTAAATATCTTTTGGCAAGAAAACCATACTATTTTAAAAAAAATATAATGTTTCTTATATAGATATAGATATATACAAGCTGATAAACAAGTTTTAATTCCATTCATTTATGCAAGTAAACAAGATGAGGTCAAGTTTTAAAGAACTGAACAATTTATTTTTGTAAAAAAAATCTTATTTTCGATTTTAATAATCGAGTTGAGTCGTCTTTCATTTGCAATTATCACTGAGTTACTCAATCTATTGTTTCGTCAAGGGAAAATAAATAAAAAAATGACTCTGAGTCGAGCGTTGGATTTGAAATGTGATTTTTTGTAAAA